GTGGCGGCTCGAGGAAACGAGGACCTCCGGCATTAACGGTTCCTTAGGACCATCCGGAGGAGATCCCGGCCACCGGATATGTATCTCCCAGTCGCGAGAAGCGATTCCGCGACGACGACAACGTTGTCGTCGTTTTCGTGCTTTGATAATGCACCTGGATGCGCGTGGATGCGTTATTTCCTGTTATTATTGCCGCTAGTATGTACGACAGTACGGAGCAAATAAGAGAGAGAGAAAGGGAGCGGGAAAAAGAGAGAGAGAGAGAGAAAGATAACAGCTTATTCGTGGGAAGACCTCGTGCAGGAATGCCACGTATTTTCTCCCCTTCCCACGCGCCCTCGTCCCAGGAGTCGAAAGTCCGCGTCGAGAGACACGAAGCATCGCAAGGTGCAACCCCATGTCGCTCGGGGAGCCCGCGAAACTCCGAGGGAGGAGGCGGAGGGGGCGGTGAGCGCGGTGGACGCACGGCTTGACGTAATGCGATGTGGGAGCGGCGGAGGGGTCAACGTCCTCCTCTTTCCCAACGACCATTGTTCCCCCGCATATCAACCCCGTCCGCGGATGAGGGCACGTTCCCGGCCTCCCTCTCGGAAGTCGAGCGACCGGCGGAGGAATCCTCCGGTGCGGGCTCGCTATTGTGATTTAATTTCATTAATGGAATATAGAAGGAGGAGGAAAGGCGCCGAGAATGAAGATGAATGGGGAGACGACGGATCGCGTCGACGAGACACAACGAGATAACGAGGTACCGGCGACGGCCCTCTCGAAGAATGCGCTGCGCTTTTCAATTTCGACACGTGGTGTGCGGGACACCTTAACCCCGTGTCGTCCGAGGAGGACACGTGCAGCGTCGGGCGCGCGCGCGCCGCGGCAATGAAAGAGAAAGAGAGAGAGATAGATCTATGAATTTCGTCGAGCCCCATTCCATGCGCGAAGGATCGGAGGAGCCCGACTGAGCTCTCGAGTGATACCGTTAAACTGACTTCCGTCTGCCCACCTACCTACCTACCTACCTACTTTCGTCCTCGTACATCGTCGAGAGGAGAGAGCCGAGCGAGAGGAGAACGAGATGGAGAGAAACGGAGACGGAGAGACACAAGAGTCAAGAGAGTGAATGGAAGAGAGAGAGAGAGAGGCAGCGCTCGCGGATAGTACAGCTCCGAGCATTCGGAGATCGCGGAGATCGACGAACGGACCGAGGAAGATCCCGGTGTTTCCATCGCAGAAGCGACTCGTCAGGGTGTCCCCCGCGGATCGGACCGTCGAGTTTCCCCGATTGAACGTTGACCCGGCGTTAATTAGAGCTCGTGTCGCCCTCCACGGGAATTACTGCGTATCGAGATCCTTGGTAGCACTCGCGCTTCGGGTACCTCCTCGGTGTGTTTAAAGGTGATACCACGGGTGTACCGTGGAAGCGTCGCAAGTATCTCTCTAGCTACGCGACGACCGAGCAAACGTGAAGAGGGAGAGAGAAAGAGGGAGGTGGGGAGGGAGGGAGAGAGAGTCGGGCATGTGGAACGGGTCACACCCTCCGGGTCGCATTATCGCCGTACACGCTGTACACGTACGCACGTGACTCGCGTCCCAGGGTCGACGCAAGTGGGTTGACGCGCTCTCTTGGCACACGGTCGTTACTGTCGTCCTCGTCGTATACCCCCTGCTCGTTCAACGACCCCGGGACGACGACGAGGATGTTGACGACGACGACGACGAGGGCGATGAGCGGCGGCGCGCACGCACTCTCCTCCGCGCACTCCGCACGCACGTGACATGACGTGGTCCCAGGATCGGACCGGCAACGGTAAATAAGGGGTCCAGGAGCGTCCTGTTCTCTCGTTTCCGCGTCGACGAGTCTTTCTCCGTAAGCGGACACAGAGACCGAAAGAAATCAAGCGTCTCATTGTTGGCGCCTTTGAAATCCGAGCGACGTCGCGCGGAAAGTCTCTCTCTCTCTCTCTCTCTCTTTCTCCTTACCTTCTCACCGTGGGTGCGAAGAGCCGCGACTTTCGGGATCAGGGAAAACGTGAATCCTTCGGGCAACCCTTTCGCGCGTTCCATTGAGTCCCGTTCTATCGGGTGATAATTCGACGACGCGGCGAATCAATGAGCACGTTGCCACCGTTTTCCGACTTTCCCCCCCGTTTGAACGCGTGATTTCACCGTAACGGCCGTTACTTCCTCTTTCGATGCGTCCCGAGGTTCGCGCAAATTGCGTACAAGCGGCTTTCCTCCGAGCGATCGTCGCACGATTATCGCCAGTTTTTCGATCGACCGGTTTCGCTGCGGCGCGCCGTCGTTCGAAATTACATGCGAACGAGGTGGCGTCACGTGGGACAAGCGGAGATCAAAGGTCGCGAGGCGGCAGGAAGCGGCGGTATTGTGCGCCGGATGTCGTAACTTCCGAGTCCTTTGGCCCCGGACGTCACTCCCCGCGTGCACATACCGCGCGTGTGTGCCTATTCGATCGACCTGAATCGCGCGGGATCTCGCCGATTTTTCCTAGCATGCGTGTCACAAATGCCCGCGTGTGTTACCTTCAAATTAGCCGCGTTACGCGAGACCGCGCGCGGGCTCGCTAGCTCGCGAGCCGCGACGATTTGACGACGATAAACAAATCGATACAATCGGTTCCGAGTGGCGCACTTGACCTTAATTTTTTTCAAGCGAACGCAGGGCGACGCAGATGTTACGTCGCCGCAACGTGTCGATTGGTGTCCCGTTCTTCGACTCGAAAATCGCGGTTGAAGAAGTCGACTCGAAGAAAAGAGCGAGCGAGCGAGAGAGAGAGAGAGAAGAGAAAAAGAAGCTTGGATTCCGGAGTAAAAGAGATTTCTCGAGTCGAAGATCGACTTCGGTCTCGAGATGATCGTTCACGAACGCTGCACAAGTAGCGAGAGCGCCCCATTGCGCCCTCCTCGAGCGAGAGGGCGGTAGAGAAAGGAAAAGAGAAAGGGGAGGAGGAGGAGGAGGACAGAGATAGATGCGGAGAGGAAGAGAGACAGAGGCGAGGAGGGGGGAGGGCAATGATAGAGCGGGAAGGAACGACGAAGAGTCAAGGAGCGAGGAAGAGAATGATAGGGGGGAGAGGGAGGAGGGTGTCGCGAGAAGGAGAGGAAAAGAGAGACGATGGAGCGAGAAGAAAGGACGAGAAGTCGAAGAGCGAGACGGAGAGAAAGCCGCGATCGAAGGGAGGGAGGAAGAGAGAGAGAGAGAAAGAACGAGAGGGGAAGGAGGAGGAAGAGGAGGGAGAGGGAGAGAGTATAGTCGTCGTGAGCTCCTTACAGTGCATTGCCTTTACGAACCCCCCGAGTCCCGTCACACCCCGTGCCCGCTGCCCTCCCACCGGCCCCTCTTCGCTCTCCTTCCCTCTCTCTTTCTCTCTCACCCTCGACAAATCGCGTACGACGTGTCTCTCATGAAGAGATCCACGAAACCAGCTTCGCCGTCGAGCGATTCGGGTCGTCGAGGCTCCGCCGGGAGGCCGGGGGGGAAGTCGCTCACACGCGCGGCACGGACGCACGCACACGTCGGCGCGTCGCGAGGGGGTGCGATGTGTTACGGCGGTGGAGAGAATCGTCCGTCTCTCTACCCGAGAAGAGGAGGATGTTGTGCTCCTTTTGGCAGGCCGGCCGGCGAATCCGGCGGGAACTTTCACCGCCGGCCGTCTCTCGAGGGTTACAGGGTTATCGAGCCCGGCGATACGACCGGCGATCGCCGTAATTTCGAACGCTCGAGAAAACGGTAGCAGGGGAAAGCGGCGTCGTGGACGCGTCCTTCCGGTAGGCGGTTTCCCAGGTTCGCGCGAGCAACCCCGCTCGGGAACCTCACGGCGAAGGATAATAACGTCGAGAGACCGGCCCTCGCGACGGCGGCGCGCGAGCGTTTCACAAAGCGCCCCGCGTCTCGTCTAAAATAGGCTCGCTACGCGCAGGGACTTTCGAAACAGCCACGTTTCACATGCCGCGACGGCGCAGCCCGCCGCCTCCGCGCGCCTGGAGGGAGACTCGGATGTGCCTCCCTCCGCGTATCCCGACTTCGCCGTCCGGTCAACCCCCCTTCCCTCCCGTCGTCGCCGACGCCACTCGTTCGTTCGTTCGTTCCTTCGTTCGTTAGCTAGCTAGCCGGCTTGCTCGCGAAGCGCGGACCATGTCGCGACAAACACGGCGCTTCCTCGTTGCGACGACGTTTGATAACGCGCGTACACGCTCGCGCGCACGCACGCACGCGGATGGCGAAACGGCGTATTTACCTGTTTGGTTTCCTGGGTCGTCATGGTAAGCGCCGCCGCAGCGCGGTGGAAGTCCCATTCGGTTGCGATACCACGGGGAGACAGGAGTGGCGGGAGAGAGGGAGCCGGAGGAGTTCCTGTAATAGAAACTCGAGAGTCATCCTCGCTATTTATAGACGTTTCGAGGTGTTCCGATAAGGGAAGGTCTCAAGGTGCGATCGTGAGATGAGGAGAATGATGATGATGATGATGGCGATGAATGAAAGTCTAAAGAGACGAGGGGCCGGTATCGAGCGAGCGGGCGGGCGGACAGGTGTGAACAACCTGATTTAACTTGGAAACTGAATTTACTTTCATGGAGGCCGCCACTACTCGCGGGGCCAACCACCTTGTACCCTCCGCCGTTCTCCCCGCGCCCCTGCGTCCTAAATTCAGCATTGCGCGAGATCAACAATGCGACGAGGAGGCGACGGCGAAGCAGAGAGAGGAGGAGGAGGTTGGGGTATGCAACGCGCGCGGGATTTACAGTCTGAATTTCAATGTTAACGCGCGTGACTCCGCGCGTAACATGGCGGTTGCGAATCAATCGCGAAAAGCAGACGCGCGAGACGTGGACAAACAATAACATGCCGCTGCGCCGCTAGATACGCGCGGGGACAACGGGTGCCTCTCTCTCTCTCTCTAGCGACGTCGCGCGGAATTGGAAGGATAAACAAAAACGCGGCGGGTAGTACAGGTAGTACCGTAACTCATGGATTCGCTCGCCGCTTCCCCACCTGTGCGCGTCCGTGCGGTTCACGCCCTTCTCTCGCTATGCCTCGCCGTTGCTACTTCTCTCTCTTTTTCTCTCTCTCTCTCTCTCTCTCCCTCTCGTCCTCCGCATGCCCGCTAACGGTGAATCCGAAACGTGCGCGCGAGGTATCGCCGATGAAGTTGGGCGGTCGAAGGGCAGGCAGACAACGGGCAACATCTAGTAATGGCGCGTAATTCCATTCGGCTCGCCCTCGATGCGGCCAGCGGACCCCTAAAGCCATCTGGCGGCGCCGAGCAAAGTGATCGGGGTGGAACAGGCGCGGGCGATACGAACTTAGAGGAGCATGCAGGGGAATACGGAGGCGGATAAGTCTCATCAAACTTCGATTGAATTAATCGGTGAATAATAAGAGGAATTTCCAACGCCAATTTCCAGCTCTGCAACTAGTCGTGGTCAAATCTTCATCTGAGAAGAGAATTTAAATATTCGATATCAAGTTGATAAGTGTTGCAGCCTCTTTATGAGATTTTTACACCGAGTTTTTTACACTAGTGCAGAAAGTTCAGTTAAGAGAAAGAGATTTTTTGGTTATGTCACGTATCGAGGTTATCCTCGTCGGCGGGGACCCGTGATTTAAATCTAACAATTCGAGGTGATATTTGTTCATAAGAATGGCACGTTTATTTAACATACTTGCCGCCAAAGAATTGATGAGGATTCAGATTGCCAGATATAGTAGTAAGAAGGCGGACCATTGGGTGAGCGTTCACTTGCGTCTTTGTAATTTAATATGATTTTTATAATAAGCGTGATTGTCATAAATATATCTATTATTTATCATGTTTCTTCTTTGGGACCATTATTTAGGCTGTGATCAAGAGAAAAAAGACAGCAAAGTACATAGCGCTGAGACACTTTGACGAATTTTACAGTACTGTTTACAAGAGGAAATGGGAATCCATAAAAGAAGCATTGTTGCAGGAAGAACACAAGTACATGGCTGTCGTGAATAGCTTCAGCGATATAGACAGGATAAAAATGGAGCTAGAGGTATCTATACATATATATTGAAATATCAAATTTCAGTATATTGACTGATAGAGCTATCATTTTCAGTTGCAAGGTGCCATGAACTTGAAGACGATTTATCAAACTTATAAGACAGAACTTGATGAGACTCCACATAAATCTACTAGAAAAAGGAAGAAGAAAAATATGAAGGGGAGCCAAAAGATAGAGTCTGTAATTGCAGATATTCAACTGAACACAATACAGTCGCATTATCCTGCAGATTATGAATCGAAACCTACAGCTATAAGCACAGCGGATGAGGATGAGGATATTGTACAAGAACGTGGTAGACTGCAACCAGTAGAGATGAAGTCTATCGAATTCAGTGAGAATGACGTAAAGCTGGATGAGAATCGCATTGTGCATCCCAATGCTGGTTTGAGCGGATTGTACGAATTTATGCCAGCTACACAGATTAAAGGTAAGCCACACCACGTGTCTTTCTGTATCTGGGCAAACATGGCAGATTTCCCCTAATTGTAATTTTAGTCAAAATTCTTGTATTTAAGTTCACTCGACGCTAATTAATCTCTTGTGTTTCAAGGAACGGACGACTGGGTGTTAGAGTCGCAACACTACGGCTACTACAATCAAGGTGCGGATTTCTCGGTGAAGATTGAGAAAGAACCAATATTAACGTTTCCGGAATACCTCAACATATACACGTTCGAGGAGGACAATTACAGCAAATTCCCACCACCCAAGAAAGGATCCACCAACGTTCTGGGTGAGTCTTTGATAACCTGCGTACATTTACGGATTTCTCTCTGTACGATTGCGATTTGTCATACAGATTACTATCTCTTGGACGGTGCCTCCATATTACCAGTACTTGCTTTGGACTTACAACCCGGTGACGCTGTGTTAGACATGTGCGCAGCACCCGGAGGAAAAGCTCTCACGATTCTTCAGACGTTTATGCCGCGTTTGTTGATCGCTAACGACATACAGTTATCTAGAGTAAAGAGGATACAGAATGTCATAAATCAGTATGTGGACAACATTGGTCAATGGCAGGATAGATTGCGTGTGACCCATCAAAACGCGAGATTGATCGAAGATAAGGATATCTATAACAAGGTATAATCCTCTCTCTCTCTCTCTCTCTCTCTTTCGACGATTCATTGAGAAAATTTAATACAAATATAATTATAATTTAATCCTTACGTTGGGCCATATTATTTGAAAGTAAAAGAACCCTTTGACCTGCGATTCTCTCTCATCGGTGCTGTGTACCGAAATATTAACGAATTGCTCGATGTCACTTAGGAACGATAAAAGAGATTTGTCCGCCTAAGTTTGAAGTTAGACGACTGACTGACTCATTATTGTTATCAGTCTCAAAGTTTCCGTTGTGTACCGTTTAACAGCAGATGATACGATGATCGTTTCATTCTCTAGCATTCCTTGGTACGACTCAAAAAGCAGGTCGGAGGTATTTTTATTTGGAATTTTTAATATGACTCAAGGATGAATCAGAGAAACATCCTTGTACTTCAATCGCATGACCATAAACGAAGTTGGAATTTTATCTCAATTTACCCACGACAAATAATATTTCTGGCCCGATGACGAGTTGTGTTGTGAAAAAATGAAAATCCAAAATCGGGTAGACTATGATAAGATTCAAAGAGTATGCACAGGAGCTGTGCGAGACCAGTAAAGTTTAACGATGAATTTTTATGTCGAATCGAAAGAATAGGAATTAATTAAGTCTGAATATATATCGAGGAAAGATAGTTGATTCTCGAGTGAAAAACGAATCGAATATCACCCATCGTCATTAACGACCACCTTTGCAGATCCTAGTGGATGTACCGTGCACCACGGACCGACATGTGCTGCACTGCGACGAGAACAACATTTTCAAGGCGACGAGGATACAGGAGAGATTGCAGTTGCCAGAACTGCAGGCGGATATTTTGACGTGCGTAAAAGATTCGATACCACTTTATATGAACATAAATGATTATATTTGCACGACAACCGAGATGATAAGTCTCGACTGCTGCAACTACTCTCTCCCTAGTGTCACATATCATATAGTATATATTTATAACATAATTATTTATACAATATGTAACATCGATAATCGAATTTTGCCCTCTAAACGTAGTCAATATTCTCTTTTCTACTTTTACGGCTCCTGGTCTCTCGTTATGATAGACGGATCTCGTTCGATGACGTCAGAAGCGAGAAAACTCATGCCCAAAATTCCTACGGAATACATTGAAATAAAAGAATAAGGTCCGTAAAACAGTTGTGATCGATAGAGAACATTTGTAAAACTCGCTTCTGACGCCATTAATTTAGATGGCTGCAGTGAGGAGACTGGAGATTTAAAAATGCTTACGAGGTAACTTTCGTGTTGCAGTAACGCGCTGAAGATAATATCTGTTGGCGGCACGGTCGTTTATTCGACGTGTTCTCTCAGCCCCATCCAGAACGACGGTGTGGTCGGCATGGCGCTGAAGAAAGCCTGGGAGGAGACCAATTCGATCATGGTCGTAAAGTAAGGACATCTTTTGACGATGAAAAATTTGCAGGAAAGGTATTATCCATCCCAGTCGCACGTTAACAATGCATTTTTGTTGGTCCAGGGACATGAGGAAAGCTCTGGAGCCGTTGAACTGCCTGTACAAATTCGGAAATTTCGGTTTGAGATACGGCCACATCGCCATTCCAACACTCCAGAACAACTGGGGACCCATGTATTTCTGCAAGATAGTACGGGTTCGGTAATACAGGTGAGTGATCGCCAGTAAACTGAACCTGGAGACGTTCGCGAATCTTTTATATAGATCACTTTTTATAGTAATAAGTAGCTTTACATTCGCTTTCATGTAACAATATTGATCTTGCTTCACACACACATTCTGTGAAATAAATTATGCATCAGCAGAGCACTTTACCGCGCGCGAAAACCGCGCGGAATGCCTGTACATATTTTCGTATTTACGGAGAGATCAACGATGAGCGCGACAGAATTCTTTGTCGTGAGGAAAATATTTCAAATTACAAACTAAACAGAAAAAATAAATTAACAGATAAATAAAATTATCATCAATTAATTACAGACTATGTTATGGCACTCGGCGTGTGACGTTCCCCTGCGTGACTCTATTTCTTGTTGGCACCCTTTAGAGGTAACGTTTGATCGCCTGTCTCTTCGTCAAACAGCCTGACGTTGTTCCATGGCTGCTCGTCGCCGCTTCCGAAAGTAGTGTACACCAGTATCTCGATGGTGTACAGAATGACCGTTACGAGGAACACGATCCTCCATGCTTCTATGGTTTGCTGTAAATAATAATGGAACGATTGAAATACCGACGAATCCTAATATTAGCGCAATAAATTCCATCAAGAAAAAGGGGGAAAAAAAAAGAGTTCACTCGCTTCGAAAGAGAATTCTTCACCTGTTCTCCTTGATTTTTTACCTAGGGGATATTGTTTCATTGAGCTTTACTCACGTTTCCTTGAGTCAGCTTTCCCACAAATATCGGCACGACGAAGCCGGGTATGGTGGCGATGGTGTTCGTCATCGCCACCAAGGTACCGGCGAAATTCGGCGCTATGTCTATGTGGTTCGCCATAAAGCCGCAGTACATACCGCCGATGCAGGCAACCGCGATCGTCATCAGTACAACTGCGAGGATGCGGTCGCAGCCGACGTACGATACGCCGATCAAGCACACCAAGGGTACGAAGGACGCTGTAACGGAGGAATTAAGAAATTGAGAAATTTCTTTGATCTAACACCTGAAATATTTGATTAAATAGACAGCTACATATATTAGTATACTAACACATACGTTGATTAGATCATTGTAGAAAAAAAATTCAACTTATAAAGAGTAGAAAAAGAAAATGTAAATTAGGAAGTAGAAAATAAGAAATGCAAATATATAGATATTGGAAATAAATTAAAAATAGCAAATACGAATACAAGTTAGAAAGGTTCCCGACTCAAGAGTCGATCTTTCTCGAAAGTTGGATTCCCAATCGTGAAACTTACAGAAGAGAGTTCCAATTTTCCTAGACATCGTCACCGTGATAAGTTCCCTGTCCTGCATAACGGCTAATACTTTGCTGAGAACCATGGTGAAGATCCACATACACAGGAATGGCATGGACGACAGTCCTGCATTCTGATGAACGAGTGAATGAGTTTTCAATCGCTATTATCGGATCGCATATTACTTCGAGTCAATTTACCGAGCTCATGTCGAACTTCAAGATCTGATTCATGAAGGTGGGCAATTCGATCAGCAGCATATACCAGCCGAAGTTGCTGCAGAAGTGTGTGATCAGGATCGCCATGAACGGTTTAGAGCGCAACACTTGCCGCCACGGGACCGGTAATTTCTGCGCACGAAGATTACAAGTGGAATGGAAACGAAGGGGGCGACAGAAAATCTGAAAGTGAAGCGAGTGAGCGGCTTTCAACGTACCTTTTTGTGAATATCCCGTTTGTTGTGCCCCAACGACGTCATGATGTAGCCCCTTTCCTCTTGAGTGATCAGTCTCGACTGTTCCTCCGGGGAATCCGCAATCATGAGTCCCCAAGCGATGCACCAGATCAGGGAAAGCGCGCTCTCCACGTAGAAGATGAATTGCCAGCCGAGATTCGCGGCCAACAAGCCGGACAATAAGATGGAGATGACGGTGCCGAGTGCCGTTCCTGAAACAAGTGATTTCATTGATTCGATGCTTCTTCGATATAACAAAACTTACGGCCTGCCCAGAAAGTTCCAGGAGTCAGGGTGTCACGAGTGGAGGGACGTGTGAGGATTCACGAGTGCTGTGACGATTTACGTCCCGCAAGTACAGGCCTCGAGCTGATCAAGGGATCGGGGATTGAAAGACGGTGGGTGTAGCTCAATAGTGAGTGCGGAATATCCTATGTAGGCATGTATTCCTGGAACTCTTCGGCGGCACGTCTGTAATTTACGCACCAGCGTAAACGATCGACGCGATGACGCTTCTTTCATTCAACGGCGCCCATTTGGCGATCATGACGTGCATAGCGGGAAACGAGACACCCTGCAATCGCAGGAAGTTAGAATTGCGAAATGAAATATCAGGACGTTCATAGTGTCCAAAGTGTTATCACTAACTCCACCGATTCCCTGAATGAATCTCATCAGTATGAAGAGTGAGTAATGAGCCTGTGCTGCGATAGGCGTCAGAAAGGACGCTGCAAGGTTCAGCAGGACTGATCCGCTCATCACCCATTTAGCCGACCAGAGTTCCGACATTCGTCCACCGGGCAACAGGGACATCATGTAGCCCCAGAAATAGGCGGACAGGATGAGGCCCTGAAGAGACTCGTCCCATACGAATGGACCGTCCTGAAGAATGCGACGAATGCGATAAGATTATATTTAAAATTTTTCTCCCTAATTTCTTTCTAATTCCCAAACGATTCTTGGCTTTAAGAAAATAATATAGTTCTGTTAAATTAATCTGTTAAATGAAAGATATCCTTTTTTTAGATATCTTCAGGATGTCTCAAAGATATATTTTAAACATTTGTGCTACCTAGGTGTGATTTTACTCTTGTGCATTTTATTTTTATGAAATATTTTATAAAAGTTTTATTTATATTGATTTTAACACACATAAAATATTGTCACCCACCTCGACTGCAACCTTCGTGACGCTCTGACCATCACAAACTTCGTCAGCTTTCACTATGTTGGTGCTGTTGATATCCGCGTGGTAAGACGTGGGTAATTTGACGGCTGTATGGTTCACCATAGCGACGATTGCCACGCTAACGTTGACTTTAAAACCATAAAGAATGGCAAGACCGATAGATCCCATTATGGCCATCAAGTATCGGATCGGGAACACTATCTTCCTGCCTTTTCCTGCAAGTAAAAATACATACGATAAAGAACAGGATAGGGTAATGAGATAACAAAATAAGGAGAGGAATTTTTTGCATTTTTCTGGTTAAAAGGATATTTTTTTCAAACGTCTCGCCAACCAGAAGCCTCACATTAAATCTCCACCGACTGTCATTGTATATTTGATGGCAAGACCGATATTTCACGAGATAATTTTGTGGGCCTACTTTTTACCAAAAAGCAGGACTCCCACTTTAATATATAAACTCACAATATACTTTTATGTTAGCACAAATAAAACTTTATTCTTCGCCATTAACAGTTTATGTGTCTCTCACAACCGTTGTTTATTTATTCGTCTCTTTTTTTTTTCATCGCATGACCCTCGTAGGCAAGCGGCTGTGTTGGCCGGTAATCTAAGACGCCGTTATCGGCAACGGGCCAGTATTGGTAATGAGGCCAAAATTTTAATAAATTTTAATAAATATAGGTAACTATAAAGAGAAATAATTTTCCTAAAATTCGGCATTAATATCTAAAAATGGAGCGACGCGCAACAAGTTTCTCGGCGACCTGTTGATGAGGCAGGACGACCACAATGTTGATCATATTCCTAATATTTCAGCTTCCCTTTTTTCGCAGAGCACGTGGCCAATTGTACGCTTAAAATTTATCAGCTGTTTAAAATAACTAGGTCGAAGTTACACTCGAAATTATTATTAGCATATCTGTACTGTGCTTAGCTTAGCACTGTGACAGGACAAAGTTTCGAGTAACGACATTCCCGATTGGTGTCGAATTACCAGCTGTTTTCCAGGCGTTTTCATATGGTATGTCACGAGATCGATTTTAAGCTCATTCGAAGGCACAGCCGAAAAATTATTTTAAGAACGGCATCACGTCATTGACATGCGGGCTGTCGTCCCGAGCGTGTTATTATCCTGATGCAATTTCAATCTCCGATGATAACGATCGGCTCTAAGTGAGTTGAAATTCGTTAATATCGCGATAAACGAATTTTGAACACCACGGTCGGTTGTATTTCATAAATCTGCACAAACAGCTCGTAAAGAATTTTCATATGTCAGATGGTCATCACCGGTGTAAGCACGGTCGGCATTTGCACAGCATTGCGTCAGCGAAACGCTTACGATACGAGGCACACAGGTATCTAAGAATCGATTCGAAGAAAATCAGTTTACGAGAAACTACTGATTAGAAGAAAATTAATTAGAAATTCTGAGCAGGTTTTGACAAAATTGATCTAGAGTAGAGGACACGCCAAGGTCATGGCGGGCATTTTCGGTTTGTATTTTGCATAAAAATAAGGCAATTGCGAAAGCATAGTTAGAAATAAATTTGTTCTTCATCCTTGTAGAAATAAATATATCTTATTGTCGTACAATTTTTCTCTTGAATTAATTGCTTATGCTTTAATAAAATATAATTTTTCTTTCAAACAGAAATTTTCTAAGAATTATATTAGGAGAGAATATGTGTATGATTGTATTACGTGATAGAATGATAATAACAGATAGAATGTGTTATATGTGTGCGTTGATGAATATAATAGAATTGATTGATTGATATATTTATGTTGAATAACATTATGATGAATTGATGTTATCTCTCGAGATTGGGATTCTATTCTTGCCGAAAATTGACAGAAAAATCATTACTTACTGCGTGGATTATTGTCCATCGCGTTGTTGAAATACGTCTTTGACGACTCTTTCGTGAAGAAAATCCGGTTCTCTTCAACGCTACAAATTTGCACCTCGCAGACAATTGATCACAAGACTACCTTCCAAAATTTTCACCGCAGTTTTTCACCGTTTTGTTTTTTCTTCCACCTTTGTAATATTGCGAATTTTCCCGTTTGTCCCTTCGCAATATCGACGCTTCGTACTTTCTGCTTCCTCTTCGTCACGAGAATCGCGCGTCACTGACGTAAAGCCGGAGCAGTTCTTGGAGCGATTCTCCGAGAGATGCTGAGCGTGCGCCTTTTCTATAAACGCCGCACGCACGCGTGTGCGTGAGTTCGTTGAGAAGAACGTGGCGAAATGTGCGTTTCACTGCAGTCATTGACACGGCTACCGGTGGGAAGGAAGTGCTGGGGATGTGGTTGCATCACCTGTATTCCTTTGGATTTCCAAAGAAGAAAGGTTCTATTAAATATTATTATATTTTATCAGTCGGATAAATGCGGAAGATCAGTCTATAAAGGTCGACTGAATAATTCTCTGTACCCTGAGGAAAATATTTGTGCGCCTTTCTTCTCCAAAGTCCGGAATTCTCAGAACTCAATCCAACGTGAAATCGCGCACGTACGCGCGTTGAGTCATTTAAAAGTTTCAATAGGAATTCTATTTTTAACTCCAAATACTCTATATTCTTTCATTTTTTATTTTATCAATTGAATAATTTCGTGCCATGAGAAACGAATTTGTGGGAATTCTCGCTCGGGAATTCTTAGAACGTAACAAAATAGCGAGATCGTGCTTGAATCTTTCACGAACGAGAATTCCATTTTTAGCTCCGGGTACTTTGTATTTTCATTCTTATTTTATTAATCGAATACACAGAAATGTCGAAGAAATATATAAAAATTCAATGATTCTTGCTACGATGAGAACAGAACTTGTGTCCATTTCTTCGAGAATTTGTAAAACGTAAGCGTAAAACAGTCGTTCGTGAATCTCTTGAAAGTTTCACGAAGAGAATTATTAGTATTTAGCAAATACTTCGTACTATTATTTTATCAAATATTCCGCAAAGCGTGTTTCATTTCTACCCACCTCGTATTCGGCTTGCTTCGCGCTTGACATTCGAGTGCAAAAACTTGTTTACCTGAAGCTGGATGCGAGCGAACTCGCGATGAAGCGCGAGACGAGACGAAAGATGTCGACGACGTTTACAAATTTCCGATGTAAGTAGCAGGGGCGTCTCTCTTCGCGCTCTTTCATGATCCTCGCGTTCTCGGTTCTGGTGCCGCCAACAGCGGACTTTCAGTGAAAGATGAACGCGGACGGCTCGGAGACGAACGTTCAATTCGGCGAGATCTATGAGTGGATCGATCAGATCAAGTTGTCCAGGCCGAAGAAGAACATAGCCAGGGATTTCTCCGATGGCGGTAACGATAAAAAACGCCCCGATTCTCCCATACATAAATCCCCTCACCAGGATTCCTTGTGAACCCGTCAACGAGGCTAAGAACTTTTAAGAAACGCGTCCCACGTGAAAAGCGCAGAACGGTTGAAATTTCAGTGCTGATGGCGGAAGTGCTGAAGTACTATTACCCTAAGTACGTGGACGTGCACAATTACGTCGCCGGCAACAGCATCGCGAAGAAGGTGGACAACTGGTGCACGCTGAATCGCAAGGTGTTCTCCAAGATCGACATGAAGCTGAGGAAGGAGCTGATCAATCAGCTGGCGGGCTCCCAGTCGGGTGTTATCGAGAAGGTTCTCGCCGACCTGCGAGCCAGGATTCAGAAGGATTGCGATGCCGACGAGCAGTCTTTGTATTCCAATCACGAGGACGATAAAGATGGTAAAGTTACTGACGAAATTGTCAATCGAATTTCCCAATTCATTCCAACCGTCTCAATATTTTCCACGATTCAAACACTAACCCAGCTAACTTCTCACAATCCGATCATTTCGTGCGCGTCTGCAGAGACGGTGAGGTCCGTGCTGAATCCTGACGTGGTGACGAACAAAAACGTGCCCCGGCACGTGTACACGCGCTTAAAGCACGAGCTGCAGGAGAAGGACGACAAGATCTCAACGCTGCAGCAGAAGATCTCGCACATGGAGAGCATAATGAAGCTGAAGGATCAGAGGATCGACGATCTCACGCTGCAGATCGCGGCACAGTCGCAAGATCTGGATATCAGTCCGCGTTCTCAGGGAGTTTCGAAACTCTGCGGCACCAAGTTGTAGCGCGTCAGGCGAGCCTGAGGTGAAAGGCGTCGCTCGAAAAGTATCGCACTCGTCATGATAAGTCGGCCCGCAAGGTAGCTGATTATCGTATCTATACATAAACTGTACATTATAAGAATACACTATTTAATCACAATCGAATCATCGTCGGAATCTTACATATGTATATGTATATATTTATGTAAGCACGTATATGCTACGTCGATTTCACAGTCTGCAGCCAACCGTCAGAAGTTCCTCACTGATATTAACGACGTTCAAGGTCCCAGTTTACATCACACTTCTGTTGTTTGTTAAATTAGCGAGATCGCACAGGCGACGATCTTACATCGGTGCTCTCATGCTGGGTGGTGACACCAGGATAACACCGTCGCCACGAACAAACAGCATGGAGATGTTCCTCTTTGTGGTGCGGTACACTTCCTCGTACGTTTCTTCATCTATCTCCACTGTGGTCACAGTTTCCTCCGCCTCGCCCAGCACCATGTTCAAGTGTTGGTCGTAAGCCTGCAATTACGTTACGACATGATGATTGGCTGCCAATTTTCCCGCTTGACATTTCGCCTTTGTGATTGCACGTTAACATCTTGAAAATCATATTTTGTACGAAACTTGGAGCTGTGAGAATTGAAATGATGGAGCCACTAGAGACGGAGAAGAAATCCCTTACGTGTAAACGTCCTCGAAGCTCTCTCTCGTTCCTCATCTTTACGTAAATCCGCTCATCTAGGCTCAGCCTTATGAGGTCCAGCGGCTCCTTTACATTTATCGCCGGCACCTGTCTCAGGAATATGCGACGTTAAGGTTAGGTCTGGCGAAACTAGTCTACCGTCAATCGTGAACTCACTTGCTCCGCCTCGTCAGCCATCGCGAGATTTCGTAAGTTCGCGAGAACCGGTGTATTATTTCGCGTTAACGTTAACGCAACACTAAGGATCGCGGTGCTTGATCAGCGTAGCAAAATTCAAGCGTCACGCAATTATACACACAAGTTTACCGCCGATAGAACGCTCCGACAACGCGAACTGCCATCTTGACGCTTCGCGCGGCCAGATGTCGCCGCAGTGCGATAAAGCGCGCGAATCTTTCAGGATGACTTGTGTGGGAAAAGGTGGCCGTCCATTTACATTTCGTACGATAACTTTGTCAACAGTCAATATTTTAAATTGAGAATTGAACGATTGTATTGGTTAAAGTATCATTCGATTCTGGACCGAAAGTTATGAAATATTTATCACTTAGGATGTCATCTCTTTTTTATAAAAATATGACGCCATTGCGTAATAGGATGAGGAGAGCAATGAATAGAGCGCACGAGCTTTACGCTTCGAGCGGTTGTTTTTCCAACGACGGGGAGACGCTCGATTCAAATTACGCGCGCTGCGGCGCGCCGCTCGCGGCGTGGCTGCGCGTTATGGCACCGCAGCGTCGCCCGGCGGCGTCCGGTACAGTTGAGCCGCGGCCCCGGCGGAGCGGAGCGGTGTAGCGAGTGTGAGCGAATGCGCGATCCGAGTGAGCGTACGAACGCGCTGCTGTTGCTGCTGCGTGCCAGTGCAACGCCATTTTCTGCGTCCGCGGGTGGTGAAGTCGTTTCTCTCGATCGGTCGGCCCGTCGCTCCGTGATCGCGACGACGTGCCCGGCGGTCCGCCTTGATCGTCGTTCCCGGCCGCCTTCGTCGTCCGCTGTTCCGCTCTTCCGTGCTGTGCCTGTGCTCGGCTTCCCCGCCCGGGATATGCGCGGACACGCGGCCAGCCGTGCGACGGATACGATGGTGAGTAGTGACTAGCGAGGCGAGCGAGAGTGTGCGTGAGAGAGAGAAGCGGAGATAGGAAGAGAGAGAGAGACAGAGCGTGCGAGCATAGCGGTAGAGCGACAGAGACGGAGCGAGGAGATCGGAGCTCCGTGTTCCGTGACGTCTTGTCAGTCGGCCTTTTTCCCGTCGCTGCCGACATCGTCGTCGTCGCGATAACGGAATCCCCAGTCCAGCGGATAACTCGGCGGTACCGGAGAAACGGTATGTCCGCGGATGGGCGGCGGTTTTCCGGGGGCGGCACATGGCCGTCGGGGCGCCGGCTGTACGTCTCTACGTGCAGCAGGGGGTGGCCCTCCCCGAGCGCTTTCTCTCTCTCTCTCTCTCTCTGCCGGAGTGACGCGAGAGGTGCATCTCTTCGCTCCACAAGAGCGAGGGATGCGACGATGATTTTGTCGGAAGTTGCTGTTATCGCGCGATAACAATTGCTGTTCTTCGTAGATTCGTCAGGGTGATAGAATTTGGGAAGGAGGGGACGGGTTTAATCATTGAGTCCTTCGTTTGAAGAATGACTTTCGATTTAAATCGCTGACCTCTCGCAAGTTACGGATGACTCCCGCTGCGATAAACTAAGTAAATAAACTTGACATCTGGATTTTGTCTCGGGGAAGATTGGCGATTTCGTCGCCAATAATTCGGTCATTTATGTAAGAGGGAGAAAGAGAGTGAGAGAGTGTGAGTGAGAAACACCCTGTATATGAAGGGGCTGGCAGCCGGAGCGCGTACGAGTAAAACGCTCAATATTCATGTCCGTTGATTTTGTCATCGACAATCCCGTCGTTTCCGTCGTCACTCCGTCGAACGACGACGCGGTGTTGATGGCGTTTCGCGCGCGACACCCGGTACAAAAAGAGGGATATGGGGTATCATTGAATAGGAGTGAATAATTAAACGAAACTGGCATTATCGGCCCGACGGCTTGTTTTTGTCGCTCGATCGCTTTTATTCGGGCGTGTACACTTTAGCCCCGTGACACGCACACACATGCAGAAACGTCAGCGGTAAGCAAACTGACCAACCACGATCTATTATTCTTTCAACGTAAGAACAGTCGACTGTGATTGGTCAATTTACCGCTTACTGCTTACGTTTTGTGTGCGCCACGGCCCTCGCCGCATCGCGCTGTATCGATACTCGAGCCGCGATACACACAACAGTTGGCGATACTACCAAAGCACCTGACGATCGATTCGATCCGCGCCGTTGCTCCCTGCAGGTCTCCCTCGACGCTCCGCCGGGATCCTTCGCGGCCGCTTTTCGAAGATACAGGAGGATTGGCCCTTCGAATATGCGCGTACATGCGTACGCGCGTGACCGTGGATCGCGTGCGCGTGAATGGGGAAACGGGAAATTACGGGAAACTCGAGCGTGGGAAATCACAGCACGTCGAGGTGGGTTTCGCGAGTGGAGCGAATTAGAGAGAGAGGCCGCGAGGAATGCGTTAACCATCGTGATAGAAATCAGCGATCGCGTTTCAGAAATAATTTGCACGAGCGACATGAGCGTGCGTGGTAGCGGCTTTTAAAGCGTGTGGAAGGCGTTGTTAACATTCGATACTGGGTGTCTCGAGAGATCGCTCGTGCATGATTCTCGCGAGATTCGCCGAATTCGTCCGGCGACGAGCGATTTGCGAGAGAAAAAATGCGATATACTGAACTGTAACGTATAACCATTGAATGATCAAGTCAGGGCCGTGACGCACAGAAAAATATAAGGCAGGTTGATCAATCACAGTCGATTATTCTTCGGCCGTAAGAAGAATAATCTACTACGATTGATTAATTATGTCACAGCCCAAATCTTACCGTTTGTGTTTGTGTATCACGTCCTTTAACGACAAAGTTGGTGGAGCGTCTCGTGGAAGACACCCGGTATATGTTACACACGAAGAGCGATTTTTGCATCCAGCGAGCGAGCCGATCATGCGATCTCGCAGAGCGATCGTCCGCCTGACCTTTTCTACGTTAATTTATTAATGAACCGTTAGATCGCGGTCGCTGCATGTGTGTACGCATTTGCATGCGTGTGTGTATGTGTGTGTATGCGTCCGTGCATGTCGGCGTATCGACCGATGGCTGTTGACACGCCGAGGCATTCTGCCTTTTTCTACTGTCGTCTACGCGCGAGCTCTCTGTCTGAGAATCGATTTACGATTGCGACGTGCGACGACACATGTTCCTCTGTGTGTGTGTGTGTGTGTGTGCGCGCGCGTTCGTCGAGCCTTGAACGCATTCGCGAGGAAGCCTCTTTTTTCGAGGGACTCGCGAGATTCCTTCTCGAGCTCTCAAACCTGAAATTTCCGTACGTGTTTTCCTTTCGGCTCTCTGGGAGTTACGAAACTTTATTATTCGAATTCGGGGTCTCCGGGTTCTCCAGATCTTTGTGACCCATTTGGCCCGTTTACCCTCCCGGCTCTGTTGACATTCCCGGCGTACCCCGGGGGAAACTGCTGCGGGCCCATTGGCAGTCGACCCTCTCGTTCACCCGTGAGGTTATTCGGCTAATCTTGGATCATCTTCCGGCGGATCCCCTTTCGCCGACGCACCGACGAAATCTTATCCGGAGCCAATGGGCAAATCGAGTTTGTATCCTCGAGTCCTCGAGACTGTAACGAATTTCACTCCACCGCGCAGAAACGATACTCCGAGCTTATACGCCCGTTTCTACCGGCGTCAATTAAATTAAATTAAACCTTAACCCGAGTTTAAACTGTTCTTATAGACAAAGAGTTAAACTCAGGTTATATAAGGTTTAATCAACGTTGCTAGAAACGAGCACTAATTCGATCAATTTATCGGAATTACTCCCCCGCTATAATGTGTGCGAAAGAAAAATAAGAAATACGCAACGATTTCGAGAGTCCGTGGGTCGTTCAGGACACCCTGTACATAGGGTGCAATACTGTGCCGCCGTTCTCGCAGGTCTCTCCCGTTGGCCGGCCGCGTTACCTTGAACGGGGTCGGCTGCGCGTCGCCAACACGTAAATAAAATACGCATGCCGCCGTTGGCGTGCCGTTTCGCGAAATTTCTGTAAAGACGCCGCACGATTACGCAACTGCGTGCCGATTGCAGCCCCTTTCTCCGCGCCCCGGCGCGTACACACGCGCGATCTCGTCACGCGCGCGACGTTGCGTTACGTGCGCGTGTTTCATACTTGCAATCGCCTGCGTTTTCTCTCTCTCTCTCTCTCTCTCTCTCCATCGCAACACGAAGTGATGGCTCGGTGCCACTCCGAATTGAAATTTTGACTCCATTTAAGTTTTAATTCTACAATATAGTGGGCAGAGTTGACTACAAAATTTCAGTAAGTGGAAAAGATCACGGTGTAAGTTTTTTATTATTTCGGATTTGATCCAAGGAGAAACTATAAAAAGACTTAATATGTAATTAAAATATGTATTTACATAATTTTACGACAAAAAGATATTTTTGTTTTAATTAATAAATCATATTAATTGTTATGATTTAAAGAAAAACGAAACTAATATGATAATAAAGTCATTTTTAATTCAAATTAATATGTGTAATATACTTTTAAAACAAAATTTTTGGAGATATAAGCGTCGTTAAATTTTATATTAATTTTTAACTTAATGAGAAAAACAATATGAACAAAATCAAAAGTTTTTACCAATATAGGTCTGGTTCGTATTTACGTTTCTTTTAACTTTTCACTTACCAGACTTTGAAAGACGTTGTTTTAGTCATAGTGTTACTGACTAATACTAATTACTAATGTGCCACAAGCAATACATTTCTGCTTATTGACGTAATCAACAGAACAGGATACCAAGCAAGTTCACACAACGTCTTTGTGTTTTTCTCCTAATGCATTTTTCAAATTACTCATGTTTATTATCTTCTAATAAACGCAAATGTATTATAATCAATCTGTTCTTTCTCACTGAACCGGTTGTACTAACTTATACTAATTCTCTTCTCCTCTTTCCACCAAGTTTTAACTATACATTTGCCCTTTTTTACTATATATCGTTCTATAAATATATACTAATTTAGCGAAAAAGAACAAACCTAATTACTTTAGCACTGTATGGAAAGATTAACGGGAAGTATGAACAAATTGCGCGCTTTTCATTAGATTCTTGTACACAACATCAATAACTAGGACTATAAAGTGCCTCGGGCTGTTTGAATTAGAATATTGATAGTTTTGGTTGAAGCGCACCGCGGCAAAAGATTTAAGAGCGTCGAAGTAGCGTCAAAATTTCGACTCGGAACTCGGTTTTTTCTTACGGTTGTCGTCGTTCGCATTCCCTGCGAACGACAACACTGTCGACCCCCTCGCGTTAACGTCGTAATCGCTCGTGGAATTGTTAAGTTCGACTTCGCGCGACATGGTTACTTTCCAAGCCTCGCGTTCTGTAAATTCTTGCCGACATGGTAAAAAATGTTGTGCCAAAAACGGCCCGCTGAATTTTTGTTACTTTAATACAAGGAATGTGTGCTAAAATGTATATAAATATAATATTAAGTTAATGTTAAATTAACGCATTGTTAAAGCAACATAACATTTCAGCGGACCGTTTTAGTATAGAATTTATTCACTGTGGAGTGTATTTTCACCACAAGGGAGAGAAATTTCACTCGAAGTGACGGCAAAAATATCGCTATCGCGGATCCTTTAAATGGTCAGAGTTGAAGTCTCACCGGAAACGGGGAAACGACGGAAAATTTTCATTTCGGAGCGACGGTGAAAATACCGCCACTCCCTGGGCTGTGGAGATTTCACGGGGTGCGATCTCATTCAAAACGCGGGAACATTCACTCGGAGCGACGGTGGAAACACCGCCACTCTTGCTGCCACAAGGGTGGATGTTTAATTCGAATTTAAAGTGAATTCTCTCGAGCGAGCGTTCCAGCCGAGCAAATGAAACTTGTTTCTGCGTGGAGAGAATGCGCGCGTTGGATTCGCTTTTGAATTTCGAATGAAATATTCACCC